CATGGGCAGAGAACAAACCAGGAGAGCAGCAGCACAGTGCTTTAGGAACGTGTGAGCCCATCAGTATTTGAGTCTTGGCCCACAAATGTTGTGTGGGGAGTTGAAGGCCATGTTCTCTTGCTTTCTGTGCAGGTTGTTCTGGAGAAAGAGCAGGAGCAGATTGATTTGTCAGAGATGCCATGCCAGACTGAGGGAGAGCTGTTCCCAGGCCGAGAGCAGGAAGAGCAGCTTGGGCAGCAGGTGGAAGAGGCACTGGAGAATGGCCAGGTAAGCCTGACTCAGCAGGTGACAGAGTGCAGGGCAGGAAGAGGGGCATAAAACACAGCTCTTGGGACTGAGGAGGCCAGGAGTCCAAGAGGCACTGAAAGCACAGAGCCTTGTAATCTGCAGAGATCAGCACTGGGACAGGAGGGTTACAGTGGAAGCAGAGGTGGTTAAGTAGGCAGAAAGAAGCGACTGAATGAGTGTGATTTTGAGGCTGAAAGAGGGAAAAGCTGAGCCTGATGGCAGCTCCCAGTCACTTGTTCTCCATTTGTGTATACAGAATATCAAAGCAGAGCCACAGGCAGAGTTGCCTGAAGCTCAGAGTACCATTATGGCAGTGAAGAGGAGGCACCAGGAAGACATGAGGAGCACCGAAGAGGAGATGAGGCTCCATCAGCAGAGAGGAGACCAACAAAACCAGGTGAGTGAAAGAGTGGCAGCCCGTTCATTTTGTTCTGGTTATTAATTTAAATGGTTTGTTCCTGATGTTATTCCCCCCATGAGTTGTAATGGTTTTACCCGCTTGTCAGTTTTGTAAACCCCTCCCCTTTTTCCTGAACCTTCCTTGTCCATCACCCTGTTCCTGCCCCTGAATCCCATCAATCTATGTAAACCCCACCTCTTGTTCTAGCTCCTTCCCTGTCATTTATCCCTCACTCGAAGCCCCATTGGCATTGTGACTTCCGCCCCTCCCACGTGTTATTCCTATTGGTCCCCAACACTGTAAACCCTCCCCCCAACTCCTCCCCTGAGATGCCCTGATTGGTTCCTTTGTTTGTGCCCTCCCCACCTTAAATTAGAGCGCACAGAGGTGCTCCTTGCTCAGACCGTCCTACCCTTGACCTTTCCAGTCCTTCCCCCATCCACTGCTCCCGACCCTGGAATAAAACCTGGTTTCTGGAGAGAACCTGGGACTCTGAGCCTCCTCCTTGCCTTCACTGGGCACCCATGACGCACCTGAGACCGCAGAGCTTGGTGGCTTACAGGCTCTGAAGGTTCGGTCTGGGACAACGAGCTCCCAGACCGTTCCCCACTCCCGGCGCTGCCAGCGGCTAGGGAGCAACAGCTAGCCAGGGCGAGGAGAGCCGCGGCAGGGGCAGCGTCATGAAAGAGTAGAAGTCACTCCACTCATCAAGCTGTCTCTCTCGTGTTTTTTAGAGGACATCAAGGAAAATCTCCCGGCAGAGCTGCAGGAAACAGAGGCTAGGATCGACACAAAGAAGAAGAGGCTGGAGGAAGAACTGAAAATTGTCATAGAGAAAATTAATCACCTGATTCAGAAGAAGGATTCTCTACAAAAACAAGTGAGTGAAACAGCGATAGCCACTGCAGTCATTGCAGTCTGGTGGTTTCAGCCCCTCTTGCCTTTCCTCTGCAGAGCAGCAGGGAGCTGGGGTGATGCCTCTCATCTGTTCGATGGTCTGGCGAATGGAGGGACTTTTTGACGTTAAGTTCATGCAGCAAAGCCCCTCAAATTCCCTGCAGTCGTGGTTGTGCAGGAGCAGCAGGTAGTCTATGGCCGCCCAATTTTGGAGGGTGGCTTGCCTGGTGATTTCCTCGTCTTTGAGGAGGTCGCTTAGTGCAGCTGACGTTAAATTTGCTTGCTTTACTACCCAACACTCGAATCGGCCTAATTCTCCAAGCGCTTGAGCAGCGGCCAACCAGGGCAGAAAAACATACACTGCTACCCGTTTTAGTTTACTCCAATGGAAAATTTCCGAGTCGCAGTCTGGGTCTAAGTCGTCCAGGCTGCGCTTCTTGATAGCCGAATTATTCTTTTGGCTCCAATTTTCGATTTGGGTCGTGTTGGGTGAAAACAAGGACAGCCGGCCCAGTGTGCACGGCCCTCCGAGAAGGCGAGAGGGGATGCCTGCCCATGCCCGATCTCCACAGATGAGAAATAAACCTTTGGGCAACTGAAGAGGGGTAGGGTTAAGGGTTGAGGGCATCTTCACGTGGGCAATGTTTTGGCACCATTTGGCTGCCTGAAATTGCTTGTTCACTTGCACCACTTTGGGATAGGGGGCAGGGTTAGAAGGGTAGTAACGAAAATGAACGCAGAATGACGCCGGGGAGGAATCCAAAAGGTCGAATTCTTGGGGCTCAACGGTCGCCTTCTCCAGCGTGGCTTGCCAGTCTCTCCAGAGGAGGAGGGGGTTCTTCGCTGGCCTTCTGATCTTATACATCGGCGCTGAGCGGACGACACGTTGAGCCGGCCTTCCCCGGTTGGCGTCATGGAGCAGGGTAGTAAGGGAGTCGGGAAACTCTTCAGGCTTCAAAGGGATCCCCACCAGGCATGTTGACATTGGGTTTCCCGCCGCTCCGGTGGAGAGGCACAGCTCGTCACGCTGCAGGGACTTCGCCAACATGACCCACACGTTTTGCTTTGGCTGAGGCACGATCCACCCTTCCATCTGGGCCACTACTAACATCACACCGAAGATGATCTCGGCGACGCTTGGGGCTGTCATGTCTTCAGGGATGGCTCTCTCTAAAACAAAGCAAACACAAAACATAACTCAACTGAAAAGAGGAATCTTCAAAATAAAGATTTGGGGTTTTTCTCCTCCTCCTCTTTGGGGGGTCCGGAGATGACCTATTCGGACGGGACAGCACCCTCATATTGATCTGGCGGCCTGCTTGGATGTTTTGGGACGTACGGTTTCACCCACTTTTGTGGGATCCACCGCAGTCCTTGGGGCGAGGAAACGCAAGCGTATCCCCGTCCCCAGGTCACCAGATCGAAGGGACCCATAATTCGTTGGGTCTCGGGGTCTCGGACCAGCACTGGAGGGCGCTGCTGCAACTTGTAGCTGTCGGCAGATGTAAAATGCCGGGCCACTGGAGGGTTAGGATCACTGTCTGAGCAGTTTAAGAAGTTTAGGGTGTAAAGGGCCTTGCACACCCGTTCTTGTGGGGTGCAGCCCTTCACTGTCTCCATTTGATGGACGAGGACGTGCTTGAGCGATTGATGGGCTCGCTCAACAATCGCTTGGCCTGTGGGGGAGTGTGGGATGCCTCTCTTGTGTGTCACTCCCCACTCTTGCAGGAAATCCTCCAGTTTCCTGGAGGTATAAGCTGGGCCATTGTCCGTCTTGATCTCTTTGGGGACCCCCAGCACAGAGAAAGCCTGCATGAGGTGTTTACATACATGCTCGGCTTTCTCCCCTGTGTGGGCAGAGGCATAGATAGCACCTGAGAAGGTATCA